CCTACAGGAGGGGCCGTACGAGTCAGGTGCATAAAGGCTGAGGTGCATATTCTGAGGCAGGTGGGGGACATTATGTCCGAGTGGGCCATGTTCGGTGCCTCCATTGTCAATGCAGCTTACCGAAGCTATGGCCACAAAACTGTTGGTGCCTGTTGTGGCGGCAACCCTGGAAACCGCTGGTGGACACAGGCAGTGAAGGATGCTGCCCGGCTGAAGAATGAGCCCTATCGGGTCTTTTTGGCCTGTGGGACTCTGAAGGCAGCTGATGGATGTTGGCAGTTCAAGCAGATTGCAGCTCGGGTGGTTGCTGAGGCAAAAACTCGGGCATGGGAGGAGTTCAGAGAGGCTATGGAAAAAGACATACATACGGCTTTAAGGTGATTCTGGTCCACCATCCAGCATCTCAGCGGTTCGCCACCAACACTGTTTATGGTGGGGATGATGCGCTGCTGACCTCAACTTGGGATGTTGTGGGTCGGTGGGCAGAATACTTTGAAGACCTCCTCAATCCCATAAGCATTTCTTCCAGTGTGGAAACAGACCCTGGGTTGGGCTCTCAAATCTCTGGTGCTGAGGTCACAGAGGTGGTTAAAAAAGCTCCAAGGCACTGGGGGTGGATGAGATTTGCCCGGAGTTCCTTAAGGCTCTGGATGTTGTGGAGTTGCGCTGATGCAACTCTACAATATTGCATGGACATCGAGGCAGTTCCCTTGAATTGGCAGATGGGGTGGTGGTCCCCCTATTTAAAAAAGGGGGACCACAAGTGTGTTCCAACTACAGCCTCCCTGGTAAGGTCCATTCAGGGCTCCTAGAGATTAGGGTCCGGTCGGATAGTCGAATCTCGGAATCAGGCAGAGCAGTGTGGTTTTCATCCTGGTTGTGGAACACTGGACCAGCTCTACACCCTCAGCGGGGTTCTGGAGGGTACAGAGGAGTTTGCTCAACCAGTCTACATGTGTTTTGTGGAGTTGGGGAAGACGGCGTTTGACCGTGTCCCTTGGGGAGTCCTGTGGGGGGTACTCTAGGAGTATGACGTACCAAGCCCTTTGAAACAGGCTGTTAGGTCCCTGTACAACCAGTATCAGAGCTTGGTCTCAATGCCAGTAGTAAGTCAAGCTTGTTTCTAGTGAGAGTTAGACTCTGCAAAGGTTGCCCTTTTGACCCGAATCCGAGACCATGGTCTTGAGCCGAAAAAGGGTAGAGTGCCTCCTTTGAGTCAAGGAAGGGGTCTTGCCCCGAGTGGAGGAGTTTATGTCAAGGTCTTGTTCACAAATGAGAGAAGAATGGAGTGGGAGATCGCTAGGCAGATTGGTTATGCATCTGCAATGATGTGAATGCCTTGGGATTCCCCCGTAGGAGCTGGCCCAAGTGGCTGGGGAGAGGGACGTCTGGGTTTGTCTGCTAAGGTTGCTGCCACCGCTACCCAATCCCAGATAAGTAGAAGAAAACGGATGGAAGTTTTATTGCAAGGGGTGGGGTGGGGGTCTGAAAAACAGTAACTACCACTTGCCTCACACAGTGCAATACAGCTCCTTTACATACAGTTGATCAGGTTGTTGATTGTGGCCTGTGTAAAACATTACATTGGTCCACTCCTCAATCAATCTACAACATTGACATCAGCAAATCATTCACACAGAACACCACATGCTGTCTACAGTCTGCCCTGAACATTGAAAATATGGATTCATCTGTGAAGACCATACATCTCCAATGTGCCAGGCACCATCGAATGTAAGCATTTGCCCACTCAAGTCAGTTACGAYGACAAACTRATGTCTGGTCGAGAGCTCGATGAGGGCGAGCATGCAGATGAGCTTCTTTAAGGTGGTTATGACAGTTCGTGGCAAAATTATTTGGTTGTACAAATTGAATGTTTCAGCAGCTGTCYGGGTGGCTGGTCTCAGACGATTTTGGAGGTGAACATGTTGGATGTGGAGGTCCTGGGCTGGAGYGGTTACACGTGGTCTGCAATTGTGAGGCTGGTTGAAAGTACTGCCAAACTCTCTGAAATGCCTTTGGAGACGGCTTATGGTAGAGGAATAAACATTCAATTCACGGGCAACAGCTCTGGTTAACATCCTTACAGTCAGCATGCCAATTGCATGCTCCCTCAAAATTTGCCACATKTGTGGCATTGTGCTGTGTAATAAAACAGTACATTTCAGAGTTGCCTTTTATTGTGGCCAGCCTAAAGCATACCTGTGTAATAATCATACCATCTAATCAGCATCTTGATATGCCATACCTGCAAGGTGGGATGGATAATTTCTGCAAAGGAAAAGTACTCTCTTTCACAGATTTAGACAGATTTGAGAACAATATTTCAAGGAACAAGGTCTATTGTGTACATAGAAAAAGTCTCAGATYTTTGAGTTCAACTCATTAACAATGGGAGYAAAAACAKAAGTGTTGCATTTATATTTTTGTTCAGCGTAACTCTCTATGATATTGATAGTTTTCTTTCACAYGTTCAGTTTCAAATTTAGAATAAAACTGAAGACACTTGAGTTCTACAGTCATCCTGGTTYGGATCTGGAGTTTAGAGTGTTCTTGTTTTTACTTTTTAAAATAAGAAGAGTAAATAAAAAGAATAAAAAGAATCTGAAGACCTGCTGTAGAGCAGGGAAACAACTAAAACATGCAGGAAGCGATCCATGAGGACCAGGGCTGGGCTTGTTTAAATTGGTTTAAACAAACAAATTGTTAAATAACGGAAAAAAAAATCACTGTCATTTTTTAAAGTCAGACCGTGCCCTGCATTATATTCATTTCTTTCATTAAATCTATAAAACACAATTTACCGWTCTAACTTTAGGTCAAATTATTTCATTTCACCTAAGCTGTTTTTTAAATTAACTCATAACTTTCAGCAAACATGTTTAAAAACTTGAATAAACTCATTTTGCAACTAAAGAAGCTGTAGTAAAAAATGTTAGACTAAAGTAAAAATAAATGTGTACTGTACAAAATGTTACCAGAATCAAAAATGTAACAGATCTCTTCAAAATAACTGAACTGTTACTTTAACATTCTGACAGCTGCTGATTTAATGTAACAAACTTCATGGTCAGTTACTGTAAGGTCAGTAAATGTTGCTACTTTTCAACCTCTAGGGAAAACCAAACACTCATCCCATCTCTGAAGCACAGTNCAATGCAGCTTACCGAAGCTATGGCCACAAAACTGTTGGTGCCTGTYGTGGCGGCAACCCTGGAAACCGCTGGTGGACACAGGCAGTGAAGGATGCTGCCCGGCTGAAGAATGAGCCCTATCGGGTCTTTTTGGCCCGTGGGACTCTGAAGGCAGCTGATGGATGTTGGCAGTTCAAGCAGATTGCAACTCGGGTGGTTGCTGAGGCAAAAACTCGGGCATGGGAGGAGTTCAGAGAAGCCATGGAAAAAGACATACATACGGCTTTAAGGTGATTCTGGTCCACCATCCAGCATCTCAGCGGTTCGCCACCAACACTGTTTATGGTGGGGATGATGCGCTGCTGACCTCAACTTGGGATGTTGTGGGTCGGTGGGCAGAATACTTTGAAGACCTCCTCAATCCCATAAGCATTTCTTCCAGTGTGGAAACAGACCCTGGGTTGGGCTCTCAAATCTCTGGTGCTGAGGTCACAGAGGTGGTTAAAAAAGCTCCAAGGCACTGGGGGTGGATGAGATTTGCCCGGAGTTCCTTAAGGCTCTGGATGTTGTGG